CTTGGGCAAGTGGAGGGACCTACGCTTAACCTTAATTCAGGTTTCTTGTTCTATCAGTGATGCTGCATTCAGTCTTTGGGGAGCTTCTACCTGAGCCAACCAATGTTAATACAGCTTGTCAAAACACAGTCAAATTATGTGCAGGCTTCTGAGCACCACCTATTGAAGTGTGCAGTCCTGTGCTGCTGTTTGCCAGCACCATAAGCAACACAGAAAGTGTATCTTAATGCACAGTTACCTGTCAGGCGTGACTGCTATAGCAGTGATGCACTGAGGAAGTCTAATGCTGGAGCAACAGGAGAGCATTGCTTCACTGATTTCTGGGGAGTTTTACCTGCTTGATTTACCTTTAAATGCAAGAAATGACTTCACACAATTGAAAAGTTTGGATCCTTATTTTCCACACAGGATGACTCACCTGGAGTCAGCTCTGAGCCGCTTTCTTCTCAAGACCTGTCTGAGTGCTGAACAAATAGCTGATGAGAAAAGCGTTCCAGGAGAACAATGCACCTGCTTCCAACTAATGCACTTCAGTTGGAGGATTAAAGCACTGTTTTGCAATGCTTAGCATTAAGTGAGTGACTAATGTGCCAAGCTACTCACCTGCAGCTCTTTCCCAGGCTGAGGCACTCTGCACTCCCTGTCCAGCCTCAGCCCCAGCCTCACCTCTTTGCTATGCTCTCACCTCTTCACTGTGCTCCTGAACCAGTCAGGAGGGTTGTTGGAAGCTGGGAAATATCACTCTATATATCTTCCACTGATTTGTCTCATTGCCTTCTCTATGGGAATAGGTCAGGATGCCACTGGATAAGTGTGGCATCACGCTGGGCAGGAATCCTTCCTTCTGGTCTTCATTCAGATGCTCTCTGGTCCAGATGAAATATTTGTTTTCAAAACCTCAAACCTTCTGAATTTTCTTCGTATTCCTCCCTAATTGTCAGCTTGCTCACTGTTGTGCTCCTGACTGCATTCACCTGTAGGAGAGGAGGAATGGATTGATTTATAAGCCACAGGGACTTCCTAGCTCAGAGTCTGACTAATGCCATTTAGGCACTTAAAGAGAGTTTCATTAACTGAAATAATCACCAAAAGGACCGTGCACTGACTGCGTTCCTCACGAATAACACGACAATGTCCACATCCAGATTTAACAAACATATTTGCTTGTTCATCGTCTCTCTGCACACACAGTTAGCAAACATGGCCTTTTAAAGTTGGGAGGAGGAGGGGGGGGGAATAAAATAGACTGCAATACCAACAAAACACGGAGACACTGTTTTGCATCACCTGGTTAACAGCAAACAAGATTAATTGCATCTCTGCAGCCCAGACGGTGTAACTCGGCTAGGGCCTGCAAAAAAAAAAATTCATTGTTAAAAATACACTGCTTCTTGCTAAGCTGTTTGTTTTCTGTATTGACAGAAGAAGTAAGGGATATGAGAATGTCCTGTCCTTTGCAAGGCAGGCGGTTTCAGCAGGCTCTGCTCAGCTGCTGCTTCCAGAGGGATGAAGCAAATCTCCCACCAGCAGGGCAGCACCCAGCTCCTGTCATTGACCATCTCACATTTGAAAGCCAAGATTTCCCAACCTCAGTGGGTGGAGGAGAAATCAGAATCTGCTCCTCAAAGCCCGAATTCAAATTGTTCTTACAGTATCCCTGTGACAGATGCATAAGGCCACATGACAGCAATGCTGCAAGAAGGCATATTGTCCTGGTTTATCCACTTTTTGTTAAATTTCTGCTCTATTTTTAGAGGTTTTATAAACTCCCATGGCTGTTTATGTAAAATAAGGTGGCTAACAGCTGAAAATGATGAGTGCTCAGAGAGCTCTGTCTGGTTTAGATGTTACTCAGACGGAGGATTTTGTTGAGTGAAATGAGATCCATGTGTAACAAGATACATTTTATTTTCTATTTAGCAAAGACCAAACATTTAATTGCTCCAATCTTAGCGTTGGGCCACAATAGTGCTAAATTTAGGCCCCAAAATGACTTCTTGTGATTTGCAGGTTTGCAGCTTTACGACTGGAAAATCATGCAGTGTAAAGCAGTGCAGAGCCTGCGTCAGGGAGCACCAAGCTGACCTCAGCAAGCCTCCAGCAATTCATCGAATGGCAGCTATAAAGCCAGCAGTCACACACACTGCATGCTGCTGGAGCTGTAAGAAGAACTGGAAGGTCAGAATGCAAATAATAGAATGAGAAGCAGACTAATGCTGTGAGTAAACATCTTCTCTTGCACACAGACATCACAAAGAGTGGCAGTTGTAATGAACAGCTGCATCTTAATGCCTTATTCCTTCTTTTGAACATGACATTTTGTTAGCTATAGACAACAGTTCAGTAAACCATTCCTCACATAACTCTAATGTATGGTTTGAGACACCATGCAAAAGCATTTTCTCTCCCTTTGGCTTTAATGAAACACAGCTATAACTCTTTGCACCATTTTTTTGTATGTTCTTTCCTATCCTCCAAGTCTTCTCTATAAAAAAAAGAAACAAGGACTGGCATTTCAGCAAGTGCAGACACAGATTTAAATACTATGCAGTGAGAACGACTGCTCTCCAGGGACTTGGAAAAGATCAGCACAGCTATTGCAACACATAACGTAACTAAGATGGAAAAAACCTCATCTTCCACCCTGGATGTTTATTGCATATGTTACAGCTCCCTGTGCATCTCGCTATCACTGCTGCTAGCAGGAATTGTATAAGCAGAAAAAGAACAGAACATTCTCAAGAAAGCCTCTGCAAAGAGAAGTGTGATCTCCAGGGTGAGAGCTTGTGTCATTAATGCCCAACATCAGATTTCATTTCTTGGCAATAGCTAAATTCTCACTGACTTGAGCAGCAAGTTTGGGCTGCAGGCTCACCCCCCACTTTCCATTGGCTTCGCTCCTTTACAGTGAGATTAGTTACAGGAATAGATTAAATCCTCAGAAGCACATAAAGGAAAAGATTTGGCACTACACCTGCAGCAGCCCTCAGCTTTGCTGTGCAGATAGACCGAGGCCAATGCACCCCAAGTGGGTGAGGATGAGTTGGGAGCAGCACCACTCACTGAGCATTTTCTGGAAAGCAGCACCATCAGATTTAATGGGAATGTTCAAAATACCATCAGCAAGAGGCAGTATGAGGCACAGCACAGATGCAGGTGCTCCCTCACTTTGCCCGTGTATGGCACTGTCCGTGGGACCAAGCTCCTCTGCCATCCCAAAAGCAGACTGGAACAACCTGCCTAGCTCACCTGATGTCAGCACACTGATGACGTTGTTTGATGTCAGATGCTTTCCCCTTGTTTTTTTAAATCATACACAGAAAACGTCTTCTGTCACATAAATGTTTTAACTGCTGTCCCAGCAAAGGTCAGGGTCACCACCAGAAAGCACGCAGCACAGCATGATGCAGCAAGAAACTATTTGGGGTTGTTTCTTCACTGAAAAAAAAAAAGAAAAAAGAAAAAATCCAACACAAATAATAGCCTTGATTTAGAAGCGTAATAAAAATGTGTACTTAAAACACATATTATTGCAGACAATAAAATTCAATCTAAGCATTTTTTTTTTAAACCAGATGTGATAGCAATTATATTCTATCAGGCCATCTAACTTCACAATCCCATATTCATGGGGTTGAAAAGGACCACGATGATCATGTAGTTCCAACCCCCTGCTCCGTGCAGGGTGACCAACCACCAGACCAGGCTGCCCAGAGCCACATCCAGCATGGCCTTGAATGCATCCATGGATGTATTCAGCATTTTTCTTATATTTTAACCTGAAATGCTATTCCCCCCCCCACACTGTTTAAAGGCATAACAAAAGTTGCCTTAGAATCACTAAGGTTAGAAAGACCTCTCCAAGTCCAACTCCTGCCCATGCTCACTGACTGTGTTCCTCAGTGCCATAACTCCTCAGTTCTGGGACAGGTCTAGAGATGATGACATCCCCACCTCCCTGGGCAGCCTGTGCCGCTGCATCACCGCTGTGTCCTAATACCTAACCTGGACCTCCCCTGCAGCAACACGAGGCCATTCCTTATCCTCACACGTGCTTCTCCTTGGCAAGCTCCCACCTGGGATGCTCCAGCACGCAACAGGCAGCACTGCTGCATCCTTGTTTAAACGCTTTCAGATATTAAATAGAGCTCATTTTCACCTAAGGCAAGGTGCCCAGGCACAAGGCTGCGGAGTGATGTTGCGCTGCCCTGCAGGCGGTGCCCTGGGAGCCAGGCACGGGCTCACACAAAGAAGCAGGAGCGTCTGTGAGGAGCCCCGCGCTGTTCCGAGCCCAAACTGTCGTGACGCGAACGGCCGGTAGGGGGCAGCAGCGCGGGGAGCAGCTGCGCGGTGCGGCGGGGGAACGGCGGGCGGCAGGAAAACCGTGCTCAAATTTATGGTTACTTCGGGTTGTTGGTTTATTTTTATTTTTTAAATAAAGGGGCCCACCTTTCTCCTTTTCTTCTGTGCTCAGAAGCCTGTCTTGCCTTTACAGACCCAAATCTGCAAAACAGGACGGCGCCTAGGGAGGGGTGTGGGGAACAACCGAAGAGCAAAGAGGTTTAAAAATAGAGCGGAGAAGCAGT